GCTTACTTCTTGTTTAAATTATCAGTCTTTTGTTCTCTGTACACAACTTGCCTAAACTAATTAACAAATGTTGAATAGCATAGCGTTTACTATTAAGCTATGGATGTACACGGGAGGTTCCTAAGCATGAAAGAAGAGTAGAGTCGCACGAGGCTATTGCCTCGTGCAACTCTAGCTTCTTGAGTTCTTAGCAACCTCCCACATGCATCCATAACTCAATAGTGCATGCTATGGTGCTCACCATTTGTTTTATAACATAACATTGAGACATTGGGAGAACAGAAGTCCTTTTATTGAGCTACATCGCAAAAAATTGTTTGTGTAGTCTTACATGACAAGAGAAAACAAGTGCACGAAAATTCATTCATAATAACCGACTGTACACCAGCAACTCGATAAAGTTTAATCACGCTTCCTGGAATACCAACCAAAATCGTCTTTATAAGCTCTGTATCCAACAACCGGTGAAAGAGTTCAGCAGAACTATGAACAAACTGTGGTGTTTACCTTTTGTTTTATTAACATAACATCGAAACATTGTAATAAGAGTTCCCTTTTATTTAACAAATCTTACGTGATCAGAAAAAACAAGTGCGTGCAGAAAAATAGTCTTAGCATTATTTTGCTCACGTCAGCAGCATACAACCATGGGCAAATAATAGATGCTGAATTAACCTGTCAGAGCACACGCTTCACTTTAGTTATGTTATAATAATTTATGCTATATGAGAGTTATGTCTACTCTATTTGTAACAGTAAAATTACCAATAAAGTTTTCAGAAGTTTTGTCCAGATTTCATTGAAAATGAATGTGAGGAGTGATCAGTTATATTCCTTAAGAGTGTTTAAGCTTCCAGGATGAGAGCTAATAAATTTCTTGAGTGATTCATACATGATTTGTCTCATGTAACATTGACACAGCCAAACTCCCTGGCAAATGTCTATAAATTTCTTTAAATAGCAGTCAGTTTGGTGCCTATTACGACTTAATGTGCAATATCAAAGTCTCCTTTTGACTTCAGTCTTATTTCTCTAATCTCTAAAAGGTGTAAATCATCCATTTTAATAAAGAGGTCAACAAAACTCTTCTCAATGTTTTAAGCTGACTTCATTCAGTCTTGTTCTCAAGGGATACAAGCCTTGAGAAATAATTTGGTTTTTGTCGTCACTGACACTATCAGCTGTACAGTTTCTCGTCAAATTGTCAGATAACTCTTGTAATTTAAGAGGTCGAAAAGTAAGGTTACAAAGGGTGTATCTGATGTTTTTGGGCAGTAAGAAGGATGGTGAAATCAAAGATAATTTTTATTGGGAAAATAATTGATTCACTGATTTAACTATTATAATTACAACTGGAAGCTCAAGATGTTATTTGATTTTATTCACATTTAGGCAACAAGCTGGTCTTTCTTTTTTTGTACACACATCTCCAGTTATGGTGCAATTCTGATCTGTTGAGAGTTGGGCGTAGTTTGACCAAAATAGTGATCAGATTTTGGGTTAATTTTTCATGTCATAAACCACATGTGATGATATTTTCGAGACTGATGATTGAAAAGAACTTTCTTTTCTCTGATAAAATTCATAATTATTCTACCATTTCCCCCAAGTTATGAAAACCATATCTCTAGAGCTAACATTATCTTACTTGTCTTAACGCGACAAGGACATTAATTTTTGTGTTTCAGTAATCGTACCCGCCGGCTGTGATTCGTGAAAAAGAACTTTTCAACTAAAACCTAACTTCTGTGAACTTTTATTTTTGGCTGAAATTGCAAATACATTGCACTGGAAGTTGAAACTCTAACACACTCAAAAGGAAAGTAAGTACTACAAATGTACTCGATTTGTTGGGAAAGCAATGACACGATTAAATTACTTTCCAATACGTCTGTGCTCTTCGACAGGCCTCCTGTATCATTCACAAACAAGATCATCGGCATCGATCGTACCAAAAATTATTTAAGAGGACTCGAATGAACTCGATTGTATACCCTTTTGCTTTTGGAAAATCAATCGATTGTGACTTCCTTTCGCACACCACACAACCATATTAAGACTACGTCGCTTCCATCTCAGTTACAGAGAGGAAAATGACGAGAAAAGTTGTCTCAAGAGCTCGTTCCACTATTGTTTTCCAACGCATTTTCCTCGTTCACTTCTTTCGCGGGGAAACCCTAACCGGCACGCAGCCTGTAGTCCGTAATCCTTCTCAGGACTACACTCACCCGGACGATCACACTACACTTTCACAGAATATACCACAGGTGAATAGTGCTTTTCGCGCGCACTGATTGGCTAGTTCGGAAGTGAATAGCTTAGCAAGTACTATTCACCTCCACATGGGTGAACAATTGTTGATTATGTCACTTGACTGACCTAATACTAAAGGTTCTAGTGCTTTCATCATTTCGCTGATGCCTTTAGGTTCACTTCCTGTTTGAGACCACAAAATGCAAAATCAGTTGAGCACCGTCTTCTGATTCATCAGAAGATAAGTGGGCACAAGGCCCGTATCATATATTTTCCCCATAATAAACTTGTGACACTTGCAACTTCTAAAGTTTTCTTTGCCATCGCTCAAACAAAACGCTAGTTGTTCACAGTTCAGGACATTTACCAGCAGTAGAGTATATTGATTGGTTAACTTGTAAAATTAGCGGCGAGTCGTAAGCTAATTATGTGGCTTTCATTGGTCCAAGATGACTGATGCCAATTCATTCGAAGGAACTACTGCCTAGCTC